ACCTTGGCGTGAAAAGTGGCGTACGCAAGATTCTGGGCTCAAATTGTGCGTACGCCGGTTTTATAAATCCGACCCCTGACCTCTACCAGAGAGTGGGAAAACAACACACAGCAGCTGCTGAAGCTGCAAAATCACTACCCACCTCTATATAAGGTGGAACAAATTATTTTTTATGCGTCTTCCTCTGACTTATATTGTAAATGTGGCCACCCTTACGCTGCTTAAGAAGTTTATGACATTTACATATATAACGTTAAATGGCTGTTCACTGGGATGCTACGGAGGCTAGCAACCATGCACCTGATGTCAGAGTTCACTCCTCCCTARGCTAAGGAGTAGAAAAAGGGGAAGACATGAAGAAAACAAGCAAGCAGGCAAATTAAAATTAATGACTTCAGTTAAATTTATTGARCTRGTTTTAATTTATCGTGCAGTTAGTTCAGTTATTGCTTATGTCAGGCCCAGTTGTGAATGACTCTCAGCTACAAKKARYTCAAATTTTAGCTCAATACCTGTTGTAGCTGGTTTGGGGCTTGCTGAGGTCAGTTAGCTGTGGCAGCCATCTTGGATTGAGCCGACTCGAAAAGTTAATCAGTTGTTGATGTTTGTCAAAAACAGTCTGTCTGTGAGTATTATTAAAGCCGTCCAGTGGTTTATGAGATATTTCACTAGCACAGACAGACTAACAGTTAATACTGTTGTTTGTTTGTTTGTTTGTTTGTTTGTTTGTTTGTTTGTTTGTTTGTTTGTTTGTTTTATCAATGATGTCACACAATGTGCGGTGCTCAGTATGTGTTGGAGATGTCTCGGCTACAAGCATGCCAAATTTTAGCTCATTATGTGTAGAAGTGACTGAATTGGAGCCCGTATTGAGTTTTCTATAATTACTTGGCAGTGGCAGTCGTGTTGAATCAGGTTATTTCCAAAAGATATCCAAAAACATACAGACACAAGCAAAAACCTCATCACCTGCCTTTCACKAACAGATGATACGGTAATAGCCTGTTTGTGACTAAATTCAGTCTTTAGCTATCCAGTTGCAAGCAGATAAACTAGACTGCCTCAATGTTTTCACCTTCAGAGGTGGTCTGGGATGGGACCCCTCGTATCTGCATATATTTGATAGTCTTAACAATCTGTTCTGATCTTCAGTGGAGGACATTATAGGGTTATCCAAAATCATATTGTCAGAAAACCTGTTAATGATTCATATTTTTCACTTTGCATTTACTGTGATTAGTGCGGCGTGACGATGACGTGTTTTTGTGTGTGATGCACTCTCACCATCACCCACAAGTGCAGGTGTGAGCCCATAAAAATAAAAATGGTAGAATTKGGCAGAGTGGCTCGTTCCTGGATGAGGTTCAACTTCTGATGTATGGAACTGGTTTGGCTTCATATGGAAGTAAAGGGTAGATAACACACGCCAACACTGAACTGGAGGTTATGAATAAAACCGATGGTCCCTGAGGGACGACACATGAGAATGGGGGATTGCCCCCTCACGAGGCAAACCTGAGGAAGTTTCTTTCAGCACACCTGTCAAGACCAATGACACCGCTGCAGGAGCAGGAGGCCCCGCCCTCCTGAGATATGCCATGCAGTCTCTTTTCCTCAATCTTTTTGCACATCAGCTCACTTTAACCTGATTACAGGTCACTTGTGTGTGACTGAACTGTCTGACTGGAGGTGAGCTTTTTCCCTGCCCAAGGCATCACTACAAGTTAGATCCTATTTTTTTTGCTTGTTTAGCTTGCTAACATGCAACATTTAAACCATATAGCGCAGCTAACGGCAAGTTTTCTGCTCCACGGTCTTCTAGCCTGTTTAGCTTGCTAACTGGCAGAAATCACTCGCCCATGTTTAGCTTGCTAACGCTGGAAAACTTAAAGGAGACCAATTATGGGTCCTAGAAATTTTTATTGCATGTCTGTGGGCTATCCAGACCATGTTCATTCAATTTAATGCACAAAATAATTCTCAGATAATAAAATTTCTCATTTTCTATTTCTGCCTGCTCTGACTTCCGTTCAGAAGAGATGTTTATGTTAAAGAGTAACTTACCCCAAAATTAACTTTTTTTAGCTGATAAACTGTCTAGAATGTGTCTAAAATGTTATATAGT